ACATACATACATACATACACACACATACATACACACACACACATACATACACACACATACATATATTATATACATAAACATGCATACATACATATACATGATTACAGTTCATCAATGATCGGATTGGTACTCTTATTTCTTTATGGCTCATTATTACAATCCAAGATGTGCAGAATGCTATGAAAAAGTAATTATCCCATATTGAAATTGGAATATATCAATAATAATATTTCATGAATTAACAAACAATAATCAATCCATGAATCAGTTCATCGAACCACAGTCGGCTTGGGAATAAAATAAAACCATTTGTTTATACAGTACAGTCGTTTATAAAGGTGTACAGTATGTAGTTTGAACACTTTACATTAACAATATTGCTAGAAACCATACTGATGCCTAATAATTTTTTGTTTTTTGTTTATTGAGTGCGTATATCAATTCATCTTTGCCTATGTTTATCATCTGAATGTATTCTAGCTTCAATATCATATTGACTTTTCACACTTGAATTAAATTTGCAAAATAAGACCCATGGATCTGTTGTTACTGGGTATAACCAGTTTGTATAAATTGTATAAGCTGCTTTTGCAATTAATTCATTTGTGATGTTGTTTTGTTTTGCTATACCTAATACAACATTTTTGAAAGTAATATTAATCTTAATTTTAAATATAGATGCAACATTATTCAAATAGTTTCCTAGACATTTGCACGTCATTAACATGCGTTCAGCAATCAGCAATCGTTGCACAATGTACACACAATGGTGAATCATCTAATTTCCATTGATATAACCTTTTCTTAGTTGGCAAAATTCTATGCAATAATTTGAAGTTAAATTCAGCTATTTTTGGAATCTTTATCTCTTTAACTTGTTTTGTCCATACTTTCTCCCAATCAATATTATTACCTGTAAATATCTCATTCCATTTACCTTCACATTTTGGTTTTATTGATTTTTTTTAAAACTAAGTATCGTCTACAGGTCTACAGGTTTTTCTTAATTTTGGATATAAATAGATGATATTCATGTCTCCTGAATGATAAATTTCGTTATTCCCTGCCCTGTTTGTTTATGCAATACGAATATCAGTGGTTTGAGGTCGTCATACGACATCAAACTAGTGATATTTTTTGTATTGCATTAGAACTAACAGGGAATAATAAATAGTATGATCATATTACCGTTGCCATATCTCAAAAGTGTTATTGATTTAATAACTATTTATACATTTACAACTATTGCCAATCAACCCAACAATTAATCGATCGATGAACATGCACATTATTGACTAAACATTAATTAAAAGCGTACTTTGTAGTGGATTAAACTAATTGGTCAAAGACGCTACAAAACCACAGACTGCGTATCTAATTTACATCAGACATGTAGGCCTATTACTACAACTATTTCGCTCTATCTCTGTGGAAATTTTTTGAATTGGAGAAGGGGGTTCAGGGTGTTGTGATATCTGATCATATGATATCTTTCTTTTTATTCTTGTCTTTTTTTCTTTTCTCTTTTCCTTTTCTTTTTTTACTTTCCTTTTCTTCGGGAGGCAGTCTCCCCCTACTACCCCGCCTGTCACGCCTCTGCCCTCAGGAGCTCTCCCGTCGGGGAGGGGGCAGGGCCCCCGTCGGGGAGAGCTGGACCCCCCCCGTCGGGGAGAAAAAGCACAATTCGTCGGGGAAAAAACAAAATTATGTATATTTTCTACATATTGGACTCTAAAATCGATTAAATAAGCATTTGAAACCCCTAAATTTCCCAAATTTTCGGGGGCTTAGCCCCTGGACCGCTTTCGAAGCCTTTTAATCAAAGCTCGACCACGCCCACTTTGCTTTCCTCGGGGAAATCTGACCCTTTATCGGGGAATCGCCCCCCCCCCCCGTCGGGTAAATCCTGGCGCCACCCCTGCATGCGTAAAGTTTTGCTGACGACGAACTAATTATTCTGATGAATAATTAAACAATGTTCCTCGTGGCTGCTAAATTTAGTCTTCACCAACCAGGGTTGGGGCTGGGGTGGTCTAAACCTTCTATCGGTGAAAGTCTCTCCCTGGACCCCTCTATTTCGATTTTTTTTGGATCTGTCACTGTTTATAGTATGGAATTCAAAGATGTACTACCTGTATCATTAAAAATAGACATTACCAAAAGAGAACTAGCATTTATTTTGTTTAACCCCTGATTAGAGTACAGTGTCCTAATTTGGCTTCGACTCACTATCCACTATTCTTTCTTTGTATACCTAGGCTTCCAAATGCCAGCTGTTTACCTGCCATATAATATTTACACTCATATACAAGATGACACCTTTCGTACTTACTAGTTTCCTTTATTTAAGGTATTGATGAATTGTGGGTACTTGACTTTCAACCTTTAAACTACCATGGTCAATTACCAATCATCCTTATCAATGGTAGTCTCCGTTCCAGTCGCACTGGTACTTGTTCTAGTATCTTCAGAGATGCAGACTGGGACGACGACTACTTCGATGATGAATACTTTATCTCGTCAACTGAAAGTGGAGAGAAAGACTTATACAATTCTTTTGTTAGAGGAAACGTGACAGAAAACAACCAAAGAAAAAACAAAGTTAGTAAAAATTATAGCTTCTCCCTTATAATGACTTTCAAAACTTCTGTGATTTATTAATTGCGGTCCATATGCATATAGGTTTTTTGACTCATGACCTTTAACACAATAGTGCCTTTCAAAATAATTATTGTCTCAATACGTTTTTAAAACCACATTATCCAAAATACAATACAATTACAACATTTATTATTTTAACAGAAATTGGAATACAAACATAATATATCTTTTAATATATCTTTAAAAGCATTTTTCCCATCATTTGTAATGAAACAATACAGCAAAATACGTTAATTGTTTTTACTTAATGTTTATGATCTTAAATGTTTTGTATACTTCAACATAAGATTAATAGGCCTACCAGAACTTATTTATTTTTTATTTTAATTTTTTACTAGATTCTATCTTGTCATTAAAATTGCTTAATAGTTAATAGAAACTGTTTATTTTACCTTTTCTGCGTTTATGCTCAAAATTTAACCACAATACGTCATTCATGTACATGGAAGTTAAAAAATATATTCTAATATTAATTGTTGGACATTAAATTAAATATTTTGTTTGTGTTATAGATTACATTCAATGGTGATTTAAGTACACTACTGAATTGCCAGGAAAAGGATGGGACAAATGCATGGCATTTTGATATATTTGATGAAGAGATTCAGTACCAGTCATTATTGTATGCCAGTAATGTACGTCCCATCTTACCTAACTGGTCACCTGAACTGGGAACCAAACTGCAATTGGCGTATGTGCAGACACATTTTAGACTGTTTTGGCGACTGTCGAGATATGCTATATTAAAGTATGTGAAAGTTATTTTAACTGCAGTTAAATTATTGAGGATTGATTAGTGGTACAAATGCTTTGCATACAAAATTCTATGTCTGAGTTGTATAGTATACTATTCTTCTCTCTGTAGTTTTATAACATTCGGAGATGCCAGAATTACAGACAGAGTCGGCCTAATCACTGTTTTCTTTGATTTTGGTATTGTGGATGCCGTTTATGAAAATGGTTCTCCAAATCCAGCCAAAACTTATTTGACGATGGGAATTTCAACTCGGATCACTAACGGCGAATCAATTATGCTGTCATTTAAAAACAACTCGATTGAATATGTACCTCGTACAAAGGGAAATGCCATTGATGTTATACATCAGTTTGTAAGTCTACATTTTGTTTAGTAAATGTCTGTATGCATAACTTCAGTATAGAACACTATTTTATTTGTAAATCGGATATTTCCTTGTTCTTCATCAACAAGAAGTTGTTTCATTGCTTTATATATATGTATATATATATGTATATATATATATTATATAGATTAAAAGGAAAAATACTGAAAACCTACAATGCTGTGGTAAACAATGGCTTCATCTCGGTAAATATGCAAATATGATAAGCAACAGATAAAAAGTAAACGTAAGTGAACAGCCAGAAATAGAACCAGAGCTTTCGGACAACACTAGTCCGTCCTCAGTGGCGAATGAGTGAGGGTAGAAAAAGCCAGATAGTATAAATTGAGAATTTCATGTAAGCATGATTAGAAACAATAGGCTAGGTGAGATGAGAATAAACAGCGTGAACAAGTGAAAAGAAAGGTCAAAACTAAACTTTTTTTCATAGCATTTTCGATGGCTCCTCGAGGATAATTTCTATTTTATATATATTATATATATATATGTATATATATATATATGTATGTATATATATATATATATATATATGCATGTATATAATAGTGTTAATGCTGCGCATTTATCTAGGTAAATATTTAACTTTTGGATAGCTGACAGTGCATTTCAGGTTGCTCACAGTGCAATAAATGAATCTCCAAAAATTGTGTTTAATACAACCATTCTGACAGTCAATAGCCACCTTTACCGGCATCAAACATTTGGTTATACGTAGGTGATTTTTTAAATAGTCATTGAGTTGCTTCGGAATCACCCTCTGAGTCATCTATAAATAAGAACAAAACTCAATGCCCACCATGCTCTACCACAAGAAGGAGAAACAAGCGAGTCGTCTCATCAAGGAAAAGGAAGGGAACGCTAACACAAACTGCTAACGACAGGTGTACTAATTAGCATAATAGATGCTATGTCGTGTGTATTGTTGTAATGACAACACAGTCAGGCGAAATAACGATGCATTCATGGAAAATCGGTTAACATAAGCCTAAACTAACCGGCCCGTCGCCGCCAAACAAAAAAAAAAGAAAAGAAAAAAAAAAAGAGAGATGAAAACGGTAGTGGTTTCTTCATACATCTTTAAAGGTATTCCATGTAGACTTTACGAACTAATGCACGAAAACATGAGATAATAAAGTGATTGGATATATCATAGAGGTATTAAAATAGATAGACAGTAGACAGTCAAACCAATATTGTTGAAATGGAAAATACTGCCAATTGGAATTGGAAACAATACAATGAAACCCCACGACACAACCGACAAATCACTGAGCACGATCCATTACCGGACGTAGTGAGTATGATAAACATACATCATGCTAGGGGATTCCATCATCAGAGACACCAACTGGATCCTACCAGATATCATATTGTCTTCATTGAGTAATGCCACTAATGTATCCCTTTCAAACTACTAGTTTATACTAATTTGTTCACTTTCCTTTTTGGTAATTATTTTAACTGCTTCAATCCCTGATATCTACTTCACTATTCTGCCTTTTCTGTTTACTGTAATCTTGTGGCGTAAAGACTATTATTTTTTTTTCTCTTTTGTGGGGATAACCCACCTTTTTTCCATTGTCTCTTTTTTTTTCAATAATTTTCTGTTTTATACTTATCTATGTTTCCTAAAGTGAATAAATATGAAACTCATTGAGTATTCTCATATTTACAACAGTTACAATTTTCATTTTTTTCGGCCCTTTTGACAGTTTTACAATGCACAAATCTTTATGCAGAATTCGCTCACTCAATCATGATACAAGTTATGAATATCATCTATTTGCAATTACATTTTTTGTTTTGTTTTGTTTGGTTTTTTTTTTTTGTTTTTTTGTTTTTTGTTTTTTTAACGTAAAACCTGCCCATAAAGTACCGACGTTTAATATGTACTAATTTTTATGGACATACTCCATCATGCCCCTTGTGTTCATGCTTCCGAAAGAATTTCTTATGAACGGACGTTCAAACCATGGTATCATGAAATACATGTCACCTTGTGTCCCTCATACGTACAATCCATCATTATTTTTACTTACAGGTTGTGAGTTACTCGATATTGATCCCTGGTATCTATCAGCGGATGTCACTTTACAAACAGTTTTTACAGTCGTCGATGAAGAACAAGAGCAAATTACCGTAAGTATTTCTAGGATACATTTACTTAAAATTGAGCATTTAATTCAAAAACCAACTTAACTTACTTACAAAACCCGAAATTACCATCAGTTTCTATCCTTAAATTCTTAATCGGAAATAACTTAGCTGATCATACGAATGAATTAATTTACCTTTTGTTTTCAATTCCAGCTAAATGTCATCCAACTATCCAATGATAAAGGTGAGGATTTGAGGGGTGGTACAGGTGTTAAGCATGAAGAGAACATCACACTTGCTGTAAACTTCTCACCTGCATATTTACGTGATAACTACATTCTTGAGATGTCACTGTTTATGGTGTGCATTGGAGAGGATAATTCAGAGTCAACTAGAGTAAGTGTTAATATATATGTTCAACAATTAACATTAACAATTATAGTCTTTCTATAAAGTAGGAGTGGAGACGATCTCTCTTTATTCAATGGAAATTTTCCTAAAATAATGTCCCTCGTATTTGCAAGTTTTAGCACTAGCATTAATATATATCTAAAATTCGAGTGCTATCATGGTTTTTTTTAAAATTATTTAACATAATTTAAATAAAATTCTATTTCATTTTATTTTCTGCAACAGAACAGTAGTTATTTCTATTTAGTGTTTATGATACATAAAGGACAATTTAATATTGTTCCCTTCTAACAAAACCGTCAACAACACACCCAAGTTTAACCATCGAATTAGAAGTATGTCCAGCAGTGTCAGAGCATAGGCTACATATTATTGTTTTTGTGCATGAGAATAAATATCATGTCAACGTGAAAGGAGTTGAATACAGGACCCTGCTATCGGAAGGCAAGCATCTTAACCACACAGCTACATTTCATCTGTAATTCTTTGATTATGTATTCACGTTGATTTGCACAGGCATGTTTTTGTGTCCATAGGGATGTCTAGCTGCGGATGAGGATGATCGTTATACAGGATTTGTCTCTAGCAGTTTTGAGCTTGACTATGACCCAGTCACAGACCCTGTCGTCATTAAGTCACAGGCAGCATCAGGTAATAACATAGGGTCTGCAAATCAGATGTAAAATCATCAGAACCAACAGTTCGCAATTTTACCAAATTCATCTTTATCAATTTGCTTTTTTGTAATATAGATTAGTTTAATTTTGTTTGTTATTTAATTTTAGTTGTAACCATGTAGTTCTTATTTTATGTAGTACATACAAAGACAATATTTTTGAATAAAATTGATTTAATTTGATTTTGCAAAATGAATTGATACAAATTTGATTTCAGGTAATAATTGTGCAACATGGGGTCTGCAAATCAGATGTAAAATCATCAGAACCAACAGTCCACAATTTTACCAGATTCATCTTTATCAATTTGCTTTTTTTGTAATATAGATTAGGTTAATTTTGTTTGTTATTTAATTTTAGTTGTAACCATGTTCTTATTTTATGTCGTACATACAAAGACGATATTTTTGAATAAAATTGATTTTATTTGATTTTGCAAAATGAATTGATACAAATTTGATTACAAGTAATAAATGTGCAACATAGGGTCTGCAAATCAGATGTAAAATCATCAGAACCAACAGTCCACAATTTTACAAAATTCATCTTTATCAATTTGCTTTTTTGTAATATAGATTAGGTTAATTTTGTTTGTTATTTAATTTTAGTTGTAGCCATGTTGTTCCTATTCTATGTCGTACATACAAAGACGATATTTTTGAATAAAATTGATTTGATTTGATTTTGCAAAATGAATTGATAGAAATTTGATTTAATCCGAGTAGAATAATCCTAGAGTTTAGAATTGAGTTACTGTTAATATTCCTACCGTACTTGTAGATTTGTGACTAATGGTATATTTCATTGCAAAATATGAAACTATGTATAAGTATATTTTATTCCATGAGACGTGCATAAAAAGAAGTAGAATCGTTGAATAATTATTATTATCAACTATTTTGTAAAATGCAAATTGTTTTATGAATATATACACAATTTTTAATTCTTTAAACAATATGATTTCCAGAAAATAAAGATGGTGAGATATATGACGATGCTGAAAGCAGTCAGGCAGATGATGAGATTTATCACGAAGATGAAGATGGATTCCGTTAGTAACTATTTTAAGCTTTTCTCCATTGCATTTTTACTTCAGCTCGAAGTTATTTATCTTGCATTCACAGCTTTGTACTACAGCTTTGCCTACCTTTAAATCTCAGGGTCCCGGATTTGAATTTGTTCTAAAAACAAAATTTAAATTAACAGTTCTCTGTAATGATTAAGGTTGTATTTCCATTTTCTAAAGAACACCTGTAGCTTGGTGATTAAGATGTTCCATTCATATTTATTCTCAAAATTGCTACTCTATTTGAATTACTGAGTCTCAATTATGTCTATCATGTGGTAATTTGAACTTTTTGATTATTTACAGAATGGACGCTTGTGATGAAGGCAACAGCAGGAATCAGTCAGCGCAGTGTTTATGACACTTGGGTGAATGAAGGTGGTTTGAATGAAATGGACCCCAACGCTCAAGTGCTGGACACATCATTTGCCGGACATTATAAAAACTCTATAGTAGATAATTGGAATATACTCCAAGTTAGAACAGTAAGTGGTTTTTTTCGCCTTGAATTGTGATATGGTTTCAATGGTATTAGGGTGATGTAAAAATGAAAGCAACGAAGGTATCAGTCTTGCTTCATCTTATACAAAAGGTCCTTTGTTTGGATGGTCACATTTTAAATAAGAAAATAATAAAAATAGGAAATAATTATATATAACTATTTATATACAATTATCATGACTTTAATAATGAGCTGTAGCATGTAGCATGTAATAAATGTAGCAAAAGAAAAGGAGGACTTCCAATCGTAATGCTGATGCCTTAGCTTCCACTAAGCGTTTTTTCTCGCCCCCCCCCCCCCCAAAAAAAAACAACTTTCCCAACTTTCCTAAGATCACAACATTAGATACTTCCCTGTATTGCAACTTTCAAAAAAATTACATCAACAGCGCTGCTGGGATAATTATCTCAGATCATTTACCATGTGATTTTATGTTATGGATCAATCATTTTGATCATCATTTAAAAAAATAGATGTCATATTGAAATTTATCAGCAAGTCTCATATTTTATCAAACCCCGTTTAGTAACAAAAAACCTGAATTTATTTTTTTTTCAAAGATAGCATAATTCGAAGTTAGATGAAAATAATTTGTTCACTAGTCCGAGTCAGGCCAAATCGGTTTTTAATTATTATGTAGATTGCACAGGTCTTAAATAATATAATACAACAAATTTATTGCAACGTCATTGATGATTGTACATTTTAAATTGCCTTTAAAATTGACAGAAGTGAGCTCTGTATTTTTTAAAATCAATATCTTTAGAAATACAGCTTTCCAATATATGAACAATCGTTTTGCATATAGATGTAGAGCATGTTTATAATTATTTATGATCTTGATGAATATTTTAGGTAAAAGTTGCCTTATACACCTCAGAAGAGGAGGTAATGTTTTTGACATTTGATGCAGATGGTTCGAATGCCGAAAACTGGTTTTCACAGGATCGTATTCTGGACTCTTCGTTTTCAGATTTAAAATCTGGAATATTTTTTAACTTTTTTTCTATTTCTGGGTATGTCATATTAAATTACTACGCCTAAAGTATTGTTCTATAATAAAACACACATTTCTATAAATTAATTGTAAACAAATATTAAAAATATAAACCTTTAAAATGTATTTTTAATTTGTTAGAATGATCAGAGGGATATTAATAATTGATCGAACTTGAATTTGAACTAAGATTTTGATGCATGCTAGAAGGTGGGGAGTGTGAGTGAAAGCGTTTCAAACACCAGCTATAAACAATAGACAACATAATTTACTCTCCTCAATACTTGGTTTACACAAAGTTACTGAGGTGGTAAAGAAAATGCTCTTTAACCAATTATGATACGAATTGATGCTAGTAAGCATAAAATAAGTAATCTGTTGGCAGTAAATACAAATTGTGGTGAACCGCTCTAGATCCGCCACTGATGATTATTGGACACGTTATAGTATGTTATATTTTCAGCTATAAAATGCAGTTTAGTGATGTATCATTAACAGATTTCATTTCAAATACTAGATGGAAAAAATTTTTAAAACTACCATCATGATCTCTTTCACTCCTTTCCCAAGCCTGGGTACTTTCCTATGCATTGTAGCGGGCATACAACTTTTTATCAGTAATGACACTGTTTTAGTTGTCTTTTGCTGCATTTTATTTTAGACATTCAAGGGCTGACCTCCATAGACGATGGTTCATTAATAAGTCTTATGGAGGATGTAACAATGACAGAGGATGGTTTGTAGTTGTTGACGGCCGAGGTCCTTGCGCATGGGAAAATTCAGCCGGTGACTCACCACAGTTCCTCTACGCACCTAAGAGAACACACCACCGGTGGCAAATAGGTTTGAAGTTCTATTTCAAAGTGTGTTCATTTAAAGTGAACGCCTGTTTGCCCTTTAAAAAAAAAAAATTAAATTAAAGCTTTTTTGACTGTTAACAAATACTAACAGCATATCATTTTTTTGCAATGTAAAACAAATTGGGCCGGTAAATAAATACTATGTAAATTTGACTCGAACGTTACGCAATTCAGAGATTGTTACTACAGCGCTGCGTTTTCAAATTAAAAGTTTGTTGTGCTTTGCATTGAGAACCCTTATATTCAACTTATTTTAAAAAGTGTTTTCCAATTTTGTGCTTCTTTCAGGATCATCACAATCTGCTGATATATTTGCAATATTTATAGAGCATCTCTATTTTCCTGGTATTGTATACATATATTTTAATATTCAGTTGATTGATTAATTATTTAACATATAATTATGCTGCAGTGTTACATTTATAAGGCATTCCATTATTTTACCGGGTGGTGCCTTGCAGATAATTGTTTTTGACTTGATTATCTAATCCTTGTCTTCATTATCTTTGCTGATATTTCCTAATTACATTTTTAGCATCATTATGGCTAAAAGCGCCTTGAGACGGTTTCTACTGTGGAAGGCTCTATCAAAGTACATGACCATTGACTTTTGATCATTAAACTGTTAAATCTCATTCTTTTAGAATATATTCTGCTCTGAACCTAGTCTGATAAAATAAGAAGTTGCTGTACATTGTAATATTATTTACAGCACAGCTTTAAATCGTGGTAGTAAAATGTTTTGTTGGCATACACCAATAGAAAATGAAGAGATGGCTGTCTATTTTGTGATGTAATAACATAAAATTCATTGATAATATTGATAACTTCAAACTCCATAATTAAAAAAAATTGTTTATGTTGCAGTTGAGACTCTTACTACAACTAATTTTGTCCACACCCAAGAGACGCCAAACTTATACTCCTTTATTAGAAGTCCTCCTGCTGGTGGCACTAGAGGTGACACCCTACAGTCCAAAAACTTTAATCTGCTAGAAACTAAGGACGAATTTTTATCAACTCCTTATTTTATTATGGTTCGTAACTCGGCATCAGTCATTCCTGTCATAATAACAAATGACCCAAACGACGTCTTAGACCATTTCATCCTAAACTCAACCTTCTACGCAGGAAATGTACAAGACACCAGTAATACAATCTTCAGAACTTTCTATTCAGCTTTTTCCATGAACAGCAACAACTTAATCTCGTACCTTGGTGAAACAGATCCGCTAATGCTTACTTGCTCTTCATTCGTCAATGTTCATGATCCTAGGCAGTATATGATGGAATACACTGCACTCTGGATAGATATAAGCAGACAACAGTTAGCATATTTCTTGCGGTTCCGCAACCTCAATGCATTCCTTCTGAACATATGCAACTATATTTTAATTCAAGATATCAATGTTGATGACTTACAATCTTATTCATTAGAGGAACTTAAAGAGGTTATTGTCGATAAAAAAACGGTTTTTGAACTCTTAGCCAGCCTGCAGTACTTCACGGAGATGAATCTTTTACATGATGATCTGTACACTGTCTTGAACATTACAAAGTCTGCACCAGTCATTGACAGTGAAAGTGGAGCGTATAGTTGCCAGTCAGAGGTGGTTGATGACATTATGTACGTGATGGTAGTCACACAGGAAGAGGATCTACTGAATTTTATTGATCCTTTTGAAAATCTAAATCTTGCAATGAATTTTATCTACAACCTAATTGATACGACTGGCATTCTCTTGCCCACTGCTGTATTTGAAACGTATAAACGGCATGTTTTAACCAGTACTAATAACGGAACGCGTCTCACTGTTAAACAATTTGTGTCATACCTGAATGAGTATCTGGCGTCATCGAACCCTGTTTCTGTTCCTAACTTAAGTGAGTTTGAAGAGCAATTTTATCGATCATTTGTGGATATCATTCTTGGACGTAATACAACTCTCCATGGACAAAAACTTGTCCCCCACCCATTTAAGACCGATGAACCCGAATACATTAGTGGGATGTTTCGACAAGGATACATCGAAAGCTGCCATATTAACTGGCATAAGGTAATTGAATTCTCGATGTACAGTGATCCACACTATCAGTATATTTCAGCGTATAAAGGAGGATGGGATGTTTGGGGAGAATGGTCGTTGTGTTCGTCGAGCTGTGGGGAAGGAGTGCGGATACGCACACGAAAATGTATTGATAGTATCAACGAATGTTCTGGTGAACCGAGTCGGTCTGAACCATGCAACACAATGCGTTGCGATATTTACATCAACAACCACAGTAAGTCGAAGCGTGCCAAATAATAACTCTGTTTAGGACACAGTACTTCCTTTTAATGGTAAATATGACTATGCATAAAAACACAAAATATGTTATTATAGATTTGAATATAACCCCGATGTTTGTCACAATTCCCAATGCCAGGCTAAATTTGCACCAAAACTCGGAGACGTATCATGTTATAACCATATATTTTATAATATATCTAGTAAAATTATTTAAAATAAATCTATTAAATGTTTTAACATAATATTAAATTTAATTATGAGTCTTAAATCAATTGTTCCTTGAGCTGTTTTTCAAATTTCTCAGTTATTTGTAAGTTACTTGTATCTTACTGTATTGTATAGGGACGCAGTAATCTATTATGTGAATATTCTACTAGCTAAATAACTCATTAAATTCAAAATGTTTAGTTATATTTTTTTTTAGGAATTTCAAAATCGTAGATACGAGTACTACTGTGTTTTATTCTGCAATTCAATTATTAGAGAATATTAATACTATAATCAGTACTTAAAACCAAGGAGGTGACACAGTTTATTTTTGCCTATAAATAGATTTTGCTACCCAAGTAACCTTCATCAATTCAACTATGACATTCGTTGAAGCCGAAGAGTATTGTAATGCTATAGGAGGTCATCTTCCGGACGTCAATGACATTCATCTTAAAACCTTTATTATGAGTCACATGACTACATATGTTGGTTCTGTGGGTAATTGATTGTTTATTGAGTTAAAGTGCTTGAAAGCGCCATTGTTCTAAAATACATAAACTTTACAAATCCTTTGTATAAAAAAATTGTACTGTCCCAAGTTACTTATGAGTTTATCTATTTTATTATATCATTATAAGTGACAATTGAATAACTTTTGAACGACGTTACAATAACTAGAATACAATTTGGTAAAATATGGAGTGGAGTTTAGGTTTTCTGCTATATTACATAGTTTTCTGTATTATTTCGTAATTTTTTTGAAAAACAAACAATATATATATTTATATATTTTTCAGTTTACGTAGTTGAATTTGGAGAATGTAAATTATTACGGTAAGCTTTCTTTTCAATTTTTTAAAACTTAAGTTATGCACACAGTAATAGTAGCAATTGTGAACTGCTGTAAGGATAATAAAAATTAATAATGATGATGAGAATTAAAAATATATAATATAATTATAGTATAATAAATATTTATAATAGTGTAATAATAATATTGAATCAGAAATTGGGCTGATGATGATGATTGTATGTTTATATTGGTGATCAGTGATGATTTAAAAAAAAAAAGTTTTATTTATTTATTTATTTAAAGTATTTAGGCAGGATAACAACAGATATTACCGCCGTTTTACAATACGGTCCTGCAATGATAATATACAATAAACAACATAATGATGATAAAGTTAATTTATGATGATGATGATGATGATGATGATAATGATAGTGATTGATGGCGGTAGTGATTGATGGCAATAGTGATGAAGTTACTAAATGTATCAATATTACTGGTCCTACGGTATACGATAAAATATTGTTTTACAAATATATGCATGTAGGTGTGTGTGTGTGTGTTCGTATGTCCACAATGACATAACTTGTTTTGTTTACAGAACCGATGGGTACGTAGATGTAAATGCTAATTGTTCAGCCAAGTTCACATTTTTCTGTCAGAGTGGCAAGTTCTTTTAATAGTTGATATTTTGTTTTTAACTCCTAGATACATTGATCCAATATCTTAAATATCATGTATTGGTCAAGTAAATTAGTAGATAATTTTGTGATACTTTAAATACAGCACAGACACTTTGAACTATGCACTGAATTCCTTAGTAGAAATTTATTCTGCAGAAGAACTAATTGTTTTGGGACGTATAGCATTTCATCCGCATTTATTCTGCAGAAGAACTAATTGTTTTGGGACGAATTGCATTTCATTAGCATGTTTTAGGCTTGTAAAAAAGAATTTTAGGCCAATTGTTGTAGCCGTTTGTTTTCATTTCATTTATTATGCAAAGAAGCGACATTAAAACTACCTTATCTTTTTCAACAATAGATTATGTAAGTGTATTTAAAGTTGAAGCTGGTTCAGGAGTAGATGTGTATGATCTATGGACAAGTGATGGTAGCCTCGATGACACTTTAGACTCAAAAGCTTACAGAATCCTCTCAACTGAAACTTTTAAAAGTCATTTTGTTGAAGAATGGGAGAGTGGTATATTGATTGAAGAGGTGAGAACATTTTAGATAATCCGGATTAAATAAAATGTTCAGTCGCATAGTTAGAACTACGGTATTTGCCCCTTAACCCAATGCGTGTTTATGCGTTTTTAAACACTCGAATGGCACGGTGACGTATATAAAAATGCTATAGGACCTACGTCCATATATACGCTGAGAGAGAAAATGGGCTCAACCATATCAATGACAAACACATTTGTAGGCCTAACTCTATAACCAAATACAAACTGATGCCAGGACTTCAATAAGACCATAATAGAATAATATTGATATGTAAACAAGAAATATCATTCTTATTATTGATACTTTATCTAGCTTGACAAATTCCCTCATTTTACCTTATCGTTTTTAAAATCTTGGTTTTTTTTATTAACGTTTTGCTCTCTGTAATTTTAGTAAGTTAGATTAAAAGAGTGAGAGGCTCGATAGACACTAGGAGTGCCCATTGTGTCACTCTTGCAGCAAAGCGAAGACTTGCGATATTTATTTTTTGCGCACGGCCCCGACTAATTTTGCGGCGGCTCTTTATTGAGCAGCTTGATTCACCTATGGACGACTCGTCCGACCAGCTTGACTCGGAGGCTGAGGATTTAATTCACAGTTCCGATTTTTACCAGCTCGTTGCCCAGGCGATGCCGACCCTTCTCGACCATTTACGTTTCTCATTCGAGACTCCTTCCCTGGGTGGCTTGGGGCTGGCCTGTGGGGTCCGCCGGCTCCGTCCCGCTCACCCTGTTCCTTTCCGTCTTAACCAGACGAATCATGGCTGCTGATGTTGGGTTATCTCGCGAGTTTGGTAGAACCTCTGACCCACAGGGCACGGCGACGGAGGGGGAGGGGTGGGCCTCATTCCTGAGGATCGAGCCCGGTTGCTTCGTTGGAGCCGGGCCTGTAAGGGAAAGCCGATTATTTTTGCTTACGAATGGAAACAACAGTCTCTGGACAGCTAAATTCTGCAGTGCAGACTATATTCCGTGGGAACTAAATAGAGTTAACTTCACCTCCGGTTGAGGTTGAGGGATGAGCACGCCCATTCCTGCTCCTAGAAGATGGAAGGCCTGTTATTCAGGGGTAAGAAACCTTCTACTGAAGGGGGCTGTAGTCGAAGTTTTTCCGGCTACCGAAGACAAGGGGTTCATTTCAACCCTCTTACTGACGAAAGAAATCGCCAGGGAATGGCCCAATTCTAAATATGCGGCGGCTGAACCACTGGATCAAACCACAAAAATTCCGCATGGATATCTCGCTCTTATCATCTAAGGACTTATGCCTGGGGACTGGACCGCTCCTATAGACCTCGCCCCATTTACAGAGCTGATTTCCTAGCGAAGTATCAGACCGTTTTGGGCATTCTCCTTCTGTCTTCATGCCCACCATTTCCTCGCACTTTTCGGTGCAAGAAGACAAGGTTTAGTGCCCTGTAAGAGCTTTGCGTTTTTACATTCACCGCACGCGTCCATTGCCCAGCACGGCCTCACATTTGTTTGTTTCTTCAGCTCGGGCCCATGGGCCTGTCTCTGTAGATACCATAGCTTGCAGGGTGGCATTGACCATTAAGCCGCTTATGCTTCGGCTCGCAAGCCTCCGCCTGCCCACATGCAAGAGGTTCGCGGCACGGTGGTTTATTGGGCGCTCTTTCTCGGGGATCCTCCTCATCGATATTCTTGCAGCGGCATGGTGAAGAGATCGGAGACAAGGCCTACTTTTTGCGGGATGTTGTTCGACACAGGCGTCCGTGGCGTCGGCTGTTCTTAATCCGTCAGTGTAGGTACGTTTTCTGGTTTCTGATCACGCCCGTCTCCTCTTTTTCGCTGATAACCTGGAAATTAGTCGGTTTATTCACGAAATAGGCTACACAATTCAATCGTGATGTTGGTAGTCTATGAGTGAGATACTTACCAGGATAACTTTCCCTTTCTTCACCCTCTCCGTGATCTTTTGGATCTCTAGGGAATGACGATTGTTAGGGAGACGGTTCGTACGTGGCGCTCTGGGTCGGACTGTTTTTTTCTCAAATGAATGTTCCGTTTAGGGAACAATGGCAATTGGTCGGTTTATCCAGGTAAGTACCTCACTCATAGACTACCAACTGATTTGTGTAGTTTATCCTTTGATGAATACGCAGTAAAATGTTAATTTGAATTAAATATCTGTACTATATCTGTACTGTAGGACATATTATCTTATTTCAGGTAAAAATAATGCTTTTAGACAATGACTTCAAATCGGTTTGGCAGATGACATTTAATGGAAGCATGACAGATAAGATTGACTGGTTTTCTGAGGATCATGTTATCACCTCACAGTATAACAACTTTCTTGGAACCAGGAAAACATTCTTCAGTATCAAGGGGTTGGTTTTAAACATTTAGTCACACTAAATTGTATTATTTCTATAACAATTTATTTGAGATTCAGGCCCGTGGCCAGGGTACTTCAGGGAGGGGTTCTGGGCGTTTGGTCCAGGGGTCCGCAAAAGTGCCCCGGTGGGGTTAAAGGGGCGAACCCCCGAAGCCAGAGCATTTATACGATTTTAAAAGCATGTACATGTCATTTAAGTGTATGTTCATGTAAATTTAAATACTTCTTACACAATAAAAAAAATAAGACAGAAGACTACTTCTTTCTAATACAGGATTTAGAACGTAAATTTTTATTGTAAAACAAACTTTTTTTTGTTAAAAACACTTGTATGCTACTATGAAATGTTATCTCTAAAAATATTGGATACAATATTAGCAATACCCACTAGGTGTACTAAATACAGACCTTGCACCTTATGAGATTGCTAAATAACATTAAATATTAAAATATGGGGGTATGTAAAATTAACTAATGTAAAGGTCTTTGCTTAAAAGAGATATCTTACTTATTGCAGAAATTAAGAAGCAATAGGAACTGACAGCACTACAATTTACTTTTTTACCAAAATAATAAAATGTTAAGTTCCAGTGGAAATATATACAATTAGTGCAAGGATAAAATGTTATATTTACAAGTTACCGAACCAGTTTATGTAAATATACTTGAACAGCGAAAATAAACAATGTAAAGCTGTATCTTGTTTAAATGAGAAATATTGAGAAATAAATAAACATAGGCCTAGGCCTATAATTATTATGCAAATAATAAAATAAATTTCCGGAGCACACTATTGGTCAAATAACGTAGGCAACAAACCCCTCATTAATAATTATTATGAAGTCTTGGTGGTTACGTCATTCAGTTGACTGCAGCTTTTGTTTTGATTTCTACGATCAGACTTTATCGATCGCAACAAATAAACAGTGCAAAAATGCTCCCATTTTGTAATAAGTTGCATTAATTGGGAAATGGGTTTCGTTTTTTTGGCTAAGGGGGCTTGGGTTTGCTGACAAAAAGGGGGTTCGCTGAAAGGGGGGGGGGGTTTCGCCCGAACCCCTTAAAACCGCCTTGGCTACGGGCCTGAGATTAGAGATGTGATCGTTGACGTTAGGATAAAAAAATGTGCTAGTTAAAGTTTTTAAGTTTAATAAATTCTATCATTTGTTTTATTTCTGTTCTACAGGAACAAAAGAGCGAAAAGACGCTTTTTCATCAATCACAACTACCAAGGATGTCAACTAGATTCCGGTTGGTTGCAAGTGATTGATGATGCAGAGGGCTATTGCTCATGGGAAGATAAATTCACATCGTCCCCACAGTTCATTTACAGTGGTGGTACTTCACATGAAATTTGGGCTGGTAGATTATTATCGTTTATTATTTTTATTGCTCATTATCATACGATAGTGGATGGCGCGACCGTTGCAGTTCGGGCTCTTAAACATGAGGTTGGGGTATCCGAATTCTCGTTATGCAGTTTGCTTGCGTAATTAAGCAAGGCACTTTATTAATGTTGTCTCTCTCTACCCAAAGGTATGTGTGTACCTGGTAGTGTTAAAATTCCAAATTGGCTAATTAGCTCAGAATACTCAGAACTAGCCAAGAATACTCACAAAAAGGAGTGGAATACTAGTTTCATATGTGTTTAAGATCATGACCGGTGTAAGGTTGTAACAGGGGCGGATCTAGAGATGTCCGAAAGTGGAGGAACGAAAGCGGGGGCCGATGGAGACAACACTACCCTATGGGTCCGGGCATTCCCCCACGATTGTTTCGTCTTATAGAGGCTAAAAAATAACCTGAGATGTTTTGGATGATCAACTGTCTTTCTCTTTCTTTCTTTTTTTTTTTTCTTTTTAAACTTTACAAAGAGGGGGAGTGGTGGCCAGCCCGGTCCCTCTTCACACATGTGTAAAGCGCATTTCAATTGTGCTCGAATACATTTTAGGAAGATAATGTTTTATTATGACTATTTGTCATAATGAATATGTTTACAATATTATGATGATAATAATGTAATAAATCTAATGTTTATAAAATATAAAATATCTATTCTGTCGTTTTTACTATTTCAGAGAATGACAATTATGCTCGGATGTTTGTTATCTCATTAAAATTCAGAAACGAACGTAAGTCACTGTTTTCCTCACTATTAATAATGTATGTTAAGCATAAGATTGGCATTCATATTAGCTCAGCTAAACTTTATATAGCACCTCTTGAGAATTAAAAATATTTTAACATAGATATGTACAATTGTAATGATTGCAAAGCTCATTATTAAATCGTAGAGGTAAACACAACTAAACTTAGTTAGCAATACGTCCATTGGGTTTTATCGTCAATACATTTCGATTGTCCTACAAATAATGTATTAAGTCATACATGACTCCTTGTGCCGCTAAGTTCCGTCTATGTGATTTTTTTTTTCTGTTTACAGTGTGATTCGTCAATAGCATTCTTTACTTCACAGGCATAATAAAAGGTTTGTGCACTAAAAGATGCGAACAAATGTTGTACTTGAAAAAGAAAATGTCTATATTCGACCTAAGGCGTGTAGGTTTTTTTTTTTTACTGTGATCAATTTATTGGTAAATCCACCCATCAAAGTTGATTACCGACTGTTAATCTGATGACCCAACCCGGCTGCTGGCTTAGTACAATTGAAAGTATAATTAGAAATTTCAAAAGAAACTTTCAAATATCTTCGTAATGAGTTTTATCCAGATATATAAGGATTGCTTCCAACTCGTTGGAGATTATCTTTGGCCCGTGGGATCAAAATATTTGGCCTTTCAAGCAAATGAATTAAGAACCAGGTTGTCGTGCTGTAATTTTCACTCAAAATATAAATCGATTAGTATGAGAAATTGCCCACCATTTTCTCGTTAAAAGTTATTGAGGTTAATAATATCTGTTGATATTATTATCCAGATTTAAGTTGGTATAATATCACGTATTGTAAATTATTTTGACAGCTGCTCTCCCTAGAAAACGCACTTCCGGTCCTGTGGCTCAGAAATACTCCATTAAATCCATTACTCCACCAACACCAGACCAACAGATAAACTTTGAAGAATATGATTTTGAACAATCTTTACACCAGTCTGAATTCACCAACAGAGCTTTGTCTGGTGGGTTTATTGTATTACTAACGTATTTATTTGTTCTACACAATTACTTACATTTCAGAACTTATACATGCTCTACTACTACCACTTGTTCCCCCTACTCTTTCACCCACCACCAGTCACACTACTCTCTTCACTCCAGCATGCCTTCTGACATCTTTTTGCATCTTTCATGGTTCCTGGCCCCAAGCTCTCGGATATTTACCTGCTCAATGTCTTCATCTCTTATTCATTTAGATTTAAGAGATTTAAGACCAACCTCTCAATGCTCTTAATGCTTTTGTGGGTTTTTTTGTGGGTTGCCATAGCGCACATACTCTATATTATACACTCTATAAATGCCAAGCAATACCAATACTAACTTATTCATATATGTATTGATTGATTTTGATTTACTTAGTACAGTACTTATTTTTTAATTATCGGCCTATTTACTAAAACCACAGTGTAACTTTACTTACCTACTTAAAATATATACATTTTCATTGAAGTTGGAAATAGTAGTTATAGATAAATATACAAAAAGATATTTAATTTATCGTTGTTTTAAGTGTCTGTCGAGATTTGATTAACAATTAGCAATACTGAATGTCTACTTGAACCGTAGGCATGTGAATCTATTTTTGTTCTTCTGAATATAGAGTAGGGACGACTTCAGAACATTTCTAATTTAATGTGTCTTACAATAGGAGAAAAAGCAGATTACACATTGACAGCAGTGTACACTTTAATAAGTAAGGAAAAGCGAAGAAAAAGGGAGGATGATGTTCGGTATGATGGTCGACATCGCCGTAGCCTGACAAATTCAGTCAAGAAACCTCAGGTAGGCCTTCTCTTATTTATTATACATTTATATATCTAGATTCTTCCCACTGAGTTCCCAGCACTTATTACTTATAAGATATAACACAGCGTACTTGCACCACTTTCCACTTATTATTCTAGTAATACCGTACATAAATATTTCTTCTAGATTCGTACTATGGCGTTCTCTTTTCACGGATGTCCAGAAGGTTCCGCTTTTAATCCACTAGACAGATCATGTGATTGCATCGCCGATAGTCATGTGATTCATCACGAGCCTTACAAATGTTTGAAACCAGATATGACAACAGACAATAACAATAACAACAATATTATTTTGAAAGACGATTATAATAATTTTTCAACAAAGGTCACTTTAGATTTCAGTTTATTTTTCATTTGCTTTTGTTTAATTACATCATATCTAGTGAAATAATGTGTATCACGTTCTTACTGCAAATCTGTTTAGTTTTTTATTTAGGTCTACATGTAGCTTGGTAAATGCAGTAAACAAAATATTCCAATGATCACATTGTTCACAAACCTTTCTCACTGTTACCATTCTATAATGTTAATGAACTCGGTTCAGACCAATCGTACACTCGCCTTCAACGTTTCTATAACGATGTTTAATCAATATCGTATTTAAAATGCACATAGAATAAATAACAGGAATGATATAAATGATTTGTTCAATATGTCCTGTGTTTGATTAGTGACTGTATAACGTACATTATAAGCAAACAAATCAATGAAGGAAGTTCATTTACACTATACATTAAGCCTGGTTTCCATAAAAATCGCTACACGATCTCGCCGACTCCTTTGGCAACGCTGATTGGTCGGTTGAATCAGGGATCATCCCTGATTGGGTCGGGTACATCTAAGCAGTGCAAAGATTTCAATGAAAACTTTGTAGCGGCTGTGTAGCGATTCTGTGGAAACCAGACTCCACGGTAAAACAATAAAAATGCTTATAATGAATCGATTAAAAAAAAAATTCCACTGAACCGATGTAAGTAAACAAATTTATTTTCACTCCTGCCTTCATGACATATTTTAAGCCAGGCACTGGATAAAAATGTTTTTGATATAATATTATATCAGCTGTATAATATTATTATACAGCTAATTTATATAACATTTTTCTTCTCCGTAGCCTGGCTTTATACACAATCAATTAAGTCAACATACGGTAGGCAGGATACATGAATTTGAAGAACTTTTTATTTGTTTGTTCCGAGAATTAATTGCATTTTATTTGTATATGTTTATATAAATATATGTAATATATTTTTTTATTCATTAAATATTTACTTCCCACCTAACAGTAGAAAAACACAAATATATAGCAGGATGAAATTATTTGCTTGTTCTTAGGTCATGTATTTCTACGTCTTTAATACTTTCTTTAGTTTTCAAGAGGTATTTCAAACTCACGTAGGGGGAAGTTGAAATATTCTATTCTATAAAAGTGACCATCCACCACATCCATTGCTGAATTTAATACACATTAAATATTTAAACATTTAGTAAATATTGAATAAATTAAATTAAAAAAAGTACTACCTAATATCATTCATACATACCAGAACAAACCATGAACGAACTACGCTACTCGGAATTAATCAACAGGTAAATGAAACACTTGGCCTTAATTACCAGATTATTGCTTTGTGGCATTTCCGTTCATTTGTTAGCAAATTATTTTATCTGACCAAAGAGAAACATGAATGTTCTGCACAAATTGACACCACAAGTACCACAAGTGGTTGCGGAAATATAAGAACCTTATTGCTATGACTTTAAAACATGTCAAAGGTCACAAGTGCTCCGAACAAATTGGCACAAAATATTAACTCTCACCAAATGTGGTTGTGGAGATATTAGAAGATATTATCCTATGGCTATGACCTTTGACCCTGACCTTTCGCCACATTTTGAAAATGTGTTACTAAGGCAAAAATGATTCTTGGACCACCCTGAACTGTTTTCTGAAGTCAAATTGTCAAATTCTCTGCACCTCAAAGTGCATACAAAAACTGGTCTGGCTCCTAGGGTAGAAAGGAATGGCGGAATTCAGTTTCTTCTTTTTTTTGGCATGGTTTCGGACTAGTCATAAAACCGTAGTAGCAAATATTAGATCATAAGATGACTCTTTCACAATAAGCAGTCTTCTCCCATCCCTTGATAATTATTGCTAATCATACGAAAATCTGAGCCTCAATACATTTAACAGGTATATATATAATACACAAGGTAGGCCGAAATATACATTTCCACGAGTATAACCAATTAAACACTACAGTCTCGAATGTATAGGTGTATTTAAATAGGAATTGTGAACCAATGACTTGAATCTCAAAGACTAGGCGTTTTCAGGTGTGTAGCGCGGGGAATTTCGCGACGGACGGTTGAAAGCAGGGAACAGTGAAATTGGTTGAAAGTGTGTGTGTGTGGGGGCAGGGGGCGGGGGGAGTGTAGGATCTGATGCGCTTTATTGAGCGTCCGTATTCCCGACGGGAGAAAGAGAGGGCGAGGCCAGTAGGCCTAAATTTTTGGTACTGTACTTATAGACTTAAACTATTCAGGGGCTACCTCTGTTGGCTCACTTTAATTATTCCCCGAAGGTGTCCCCTTAATATGTGTAATTATAGGTTAAATATCTAGAAACAAATGTAAAGAAAATAAGTTTTTCAATTAGTTTAAAGATTAGAACCACACAAAATTTTTCTAATTTCTAACCGGTATATGGTTAATTTGATCAATTATGCTAACTTTTGCTTTTGGAATTGTCCCGCTTAAGTTTAAAGGCCGAGAATAATTTTATTTGTAAACTTACCGTATATCGAATTGATCTTGAAATTGAAACCCTAAAATTCATTTTGTTATTACACACCGGTTTTAATATAAAAAGCATTGTAATTGTCTGGAAGTACCAACTCCAGCACTCAATGATTTATAATGATTAAGGACTTCTCTCAAAATCTCAAGAGACCTGTTTTCACCATATAAAAATAGATTATCAGCTTCTTTACCATTCCTGCACTAACGGAAATGCCATTGTTTTTAGTCCAATTTCTTTTTCTTCTATTCTGTTTTTCTGTTTTCCTGTCCGCCACTTTCGAACTTATGAAAATTTGCCAAGGCAAAAACTATATTTCAAAGAAATAAATAATAAAATAGAACATAATTCTACATCTACGTATCGACGTTTCCTGTCCCACATTGTCGTTGTACGACGATTTTACCTTGTAATTGATTGCAAGTTTATTTAGGCTTTAGTGCAAACACAAGAATCCAATAATGTTAATACTCTCTCTCTCCCTCTCCCTCCCTCCCTCCCCCCCTCTCTCTCTCTCTATATATATATATATACATCTATCGCCCATAACATGATATGATTTTACGTTATTATAGTAACATCAACATTTAAAATAAATAAGAGGAACGCCAAAGAAAAACACATTACACTAAATCCTTCAAAATAATAAAAGTAATAACAAATAATTAATAAAACAAAAACCTAAGTGCATATAAAATTTAACAATAATTTTATGACTGAAACAATAAATACTATCACAAAAATATCAATATATTGATTTAAACTGAAAAATACACATTTTTATAATAGGCCTATTAACTCTTCCATGTGGAACAAAAAATAACGATAGATTTATATCTGCAAGATGATTGTTTTTTGTCTTAAAAATAATAGTTTCACATTTGATTCAAATGGAGTCTTGAATTTAGGTAAAGTAGGCCTAGGCTCCAACAAATTCTTCATTAAGACAAAATATATCATATTCTGAAAATGTATAGTATATCAATAAATAAACAATAACCTGTTTTCATTCTATTAGCATTGTTACGGTTAATTAGGCAGATTATCATAGTAATATAATGTAAACAAGTTTTTTGTTACCTTTTACAACATTATAAATAAAGCAGAATTAACAAAACATTAGTTGGGTTTTCTGTGAATACCATTGGCGTAGGGCCTATTATATGGCTGTGTGGCGGATCAAAATTTTTGCGGGTGTCAGGAGGGTGGAGCTTTTTGTATAGGAGAATGATAACAAAAAACTGTTTACATTATATTGATTTATTTACGGCCTACAGAGCGATTCCTTAATGACAGAAGATGATTTCACACTTGGTTGTGAGCGCCCTTTTCCACCCCTGGATTCGCCATTGTCGGTCTGCTGGAATGCACTACTACACACACAGAAATTATAATTATTTGGAGCTACTGAGGCGTTCACCCAATTGACTATTTGGAATCATAATAGATCTATCGAATAAACATTTCATGTAAGTAAAATAGGCCTTATAAATTCCATGCTAATAACGAAATAAACATAACGAAATAAACTTGACGAAAGCGACGACAGCAAACAAAGATGGCGGTTGTGCGATTCATATGCATAGCGTTCTTTGCGTTTTCCTTATTCTTTTTGGCATCTGGAAACAGAAACCAAATAGCTCTAAAAGATGGCGGATACGAAAACCTACTAATTGCAATTACCAAAGAAGAAAAAGAAGATAAGGGACTAATTGACAATATAAAGGTGAGATATGTGAAATTAATGTTGTGGTACATTCGCAGTAGGGCTCATATATGCATAAATTCATTGAATGGGAAGATAGGTTCATATGCATCATAATCATAGAACAATTATATGAATTTAGAACGTGGACCAATATGATTAATATACTTATACACATCTAGATGTGTATAAGAGACAGCTTCTTTATGTACTGAGTGTAGGGTGGAAATGCCACCCCAATGAACGAGACTTATTTTCAGCCCGTTATAAAAAAACATACTTTTCCAGAGCCGTCGGAACCGGAACCGCACCGGCTTTGGCCGGACCGCTTTTTCTCAATTCAAATATTTTAAAATAAATATATACCGATACCCATAAAATGTATGAATTTATTATTAATGTTCGCATCACATTGTCTTTTTTATGTTATAGATTTAAATAAAATTCCACCATGCGCTTCTTTTTGTATTGCCTATGTACATTTGGATTTTTTAACAATCCTACATTTTAGTAATTATTATAGATTTTGAAAATGTTTAGGGGTGTAAAATTTAATAACAATTAACTATTTAAAATTTTGGGGGTTGAAGTCGGCTAAACTGTATATTCACTACACAAAGGTATACGGGTCAAACCGGCCCTGATTACTTGCATTCTGAATTTAAACCACTTAAAGTGAAGAACATCCATTTTGTCTAAAGTATCCACATGTCCCATTTCCCGGCAGAGGAGTCATTTTTTTCAACCATAGTGGAGCCGACATGGATCGGATCTAGTACACTTCCGTTAAGTTTAAATCTTGTGTCTGCCCCATTCATGGGGTTGAAATATGTAGATACGTTGCAGGTTGCTAGCTGCTATTTCTAGAAATCTAGATATACCGTATTTTTTCAAAATATGTTTACATCAGGCGGCCCACCATGTTAGGGTTGAAGTAAGTATCAATATCCCCATTTAACTTTAGAATTATGTGCCACTTTCTGGCGTCTAGAGCTGCCATTTTTTTCCCTAAATTTTTCCACCTCAGCTCAACCATGGTCGGGCTGAGGAGTGTATAGTCTCTATCTCCATCATGCTAATTTAAAATATTGTGGCTTCCCTCGAGGGAAAGTTTCACTAAAACCCCAATAACTTTAAATCCTGATCCGTCCATAGTAGTAAAAGATCTGCAGTTTAGCAACCCGATTTGTTAAGCGCCACGCCCCACCCCACCACTGCATTCCGCTCTTATTTCTTATAATGGCCGTACCACATGCAAAATGTTCACTGTTCCCTGATGCTTCCAACTGCTATGTGGACACTTTACCACCGAGGCCCTTTGCCACCCGACACAATATGAATAATAGGCCTAATAATATTTACACGAGTTGCCAGGTATTGCACTTTTTATTCTAATTTCCTTTACGACTCCCAGCGAAAGCGTGTGCCTACTAGTTTTTATTAAAAAATCGAAATGATGATTAATCAATAAATACAAATGCAGTAATGCATCTAATAAAATATGCGAAACTTATGAACGACATGTTTCGACGTCTCCCACGTCATCATCAGGTATTAATTAATTTGTCTGAGTCTATTGTATCTATATTACATTAAAAAAAAAATCAATACTTACTTTGTAAATCTACTCGTAATTCAGTAATGTTTTCATATTACTGCAATTTGTTTTTGATATCAATGCTAATTAACATCAGCATTATATACATGACTATCAAAAAAAAAAAAGCAACCGCTAGTTAATAGCTTAGTATGTCATCAAAACAGCATACACATCGTTGTCTTGGCAACATATAATTAAAGTATAAGCTGCAGGCGAGAGCGTGTCATAAAATGTTTTGCTCGAACTTTTTACTATCAAAATAAAGGATTAGCGGTTCTACAGGTCACAAGCATATTTCCGGGTATCCAGGTGCCAAAAAAGTTGTTCACCAACCATGGTGAGGCGTTCAGGCCCCACTAACTATAAATCCTGTATCCGTGGATATGGGAAGCAGGTCCGCAGTTAGCCCAAATTTGTTTGGTGCCGCACTCCCCCCCCCCCAACCAGATTTAACTGTAAGGCCAGATAAAAAAAAATATTGTGTTGGCCAACCAGACCAACCCAAAATGACCTGTTTTCACCATATAAAAATAGATTATCAGCTTCTTTACCATTCCTGCACTAACGGAAATGCCATTGTTTTCAGTCCAATTTCTTTTTCTTCTATTCTGTTTTTCTGTTTTCCTGTCCGCCACTTTCGAACTTATGAAAATTTGCCAAGGCAAAAACTATATTTCAAAGATATAAATAATAAAATAGAACATAGTTCTACATCTACGTATCGACGTTTCCTACCCACATTGTCGTCCACATTGTCGTTGTACGACGATTTGACCTTGTAATTGATTGCAAGTTTATTTAGGCTTTAGTGCAAACACAAGAATCCAATAATGTTAATATTCTCCCTCCTCTCTCTCCCTCCTCTCTCTCTCTCTCTCTCTCTCTCTCTCTCTCTCTCTCTCTCTCTCTCTCTCTCTATATATATATATATACATCTATCGCCCATAACATGATATGATTTTACGTAATATTATAGTAACATCAACATTTAAAATAAATAAGAGGAACGCCAAAGAAAAACACATTACACTAAATCCTTCAAAATAATAAAAGTAATAACAAATAATTAATAAAACAAAAACCTAAGTGCATATAAAATGTAACAATAATTTTATGACTGAAACAATAAATACTATCACAAAAAATCAATATATTGATTTAAACTGAAAAATACACATTTTTATAATAGGCCTATTAACTCTTCCATGTGGAACAAAAAATAACGATAGATTTATATCTGCAAGATGATTGTTTTTTGTCTTAAAAATAATAGTTTCACATTTGATTCAAATGGAGTCTTGAATTTAGGAAACGTAGGCCTAGGCTCCAACAAATTCTTCATTAAGACAAAATATATCGTATTCTGAAAATGTATAGTATATCAATAAATAAACAATAACCTGTTTTCATTCTATTAGCATTGTTACGGTTAATTAGGCAAGTTATCATAGTAATATAATGTAAACAAGTTTTTTGTTACCTTTTTCAACATTATAAATAAAGCAGAATTAACAAAACATTAGTTGGGTTTTCTGTGAATACCATTGGTGTAGGGCCTATTATATGGCTGTGTGGCGGATCCAAATTATTTTTGCGGGGTGTCAGGAGGTGGAGCTTTTTGTATAGGAGAATGATAACAAAAAACTGTTTACATTATATTGATTTATTTACGGCCTACTGAGCGATTCCTTAATGACAGAGGATGATTTCACACTTGGTTGTGAGCGCCCTTTTCCACCCCTGCGTCTGCTGGAATGCTCAGAAATTATAATTATTTGGAGCTACTGAGGCGTTTGATTTACCACAGGTCACCCAACTATTTGGAATCATAATAAATCTATCGAATAAACATTTCATACAAGTAAAATAGGCCTTATAAATTCCATGCTAATAACGAAATAAACATAACGAAATAAACTTGACGAAAGCGACGACATAGGCAAACAAAGATGGCGGTTGTGCGATGCATATACATAGCGTTCTTTGCGTTTTCCTTATTCTTTTTGGCATCTGGAAACAGAAACCAAGTAGCTCTAAAAGATGGTGGATACGAAAACCTACTAATTGCAATTACCAAAGAAGAAAAAGAAGATAAGGGACTAATTGACAATATAAAGGTGAAATAAATGTTATGGTACAGTTTGAAAAGAAAAGATGGGAGTATATTAATTATGTAAAGAAAAGACGAATTTCATTTTATTTTACAATGTACTCTGTACAATGATTTCAGAAAAAATATATTTCACAATTCACTTATTCATTCCCATCAATATACAAATTACGTATATTACTTTTGAATTCCAAGTTTACTATTAATTTAGGCAAATACGTATATTTTGCTTACGAAAAAGGAAAACGTTATCTTGAGTTTTTTTATGTTATAGATTTAAATAAAATTCCACCATGCGCTTCTTTTTGTATTGCCTATGTACATTTTAGATTTTTTAACAATCCTAAATTTTAGTAATTATTATAGATTTTGAAAATGTTCAGAGGTGTAAAATTTAATAACAATTAACTACTTAAATTTTTGCGGGTTGAAGTCGGCTAAACTGTAGATTCACTACAAAAAGGTATACGGATCAAACCGGCCCTGATTACTTGCATTCTAAATTTAAACATCCATTTTGTCTAAGTATCCACATGTCCTATTTCCCGGCAGAGGAGTAATTTTTTTTAACCATGGTGGAGACGACACGGCTCAGATTTAGTACACTTCCATTAGGTTTAAATCTTGTGTCTGCCCCATTCATGAGGTTGAAATATGTAGATATGTTGCAGGTTGCTAGCCGCTATTTCTGGAAATCTAGATATACCATATTTTTAAAAAATGTGTTTAAAAAAAAAAAAATAATAATAATAATAATAATATGTCATTCTTATATAGCGCTTAATGCCTTAACAAAGCCTCTAAGCGCTTCACATTACTACCCCGATCATTGGATCAAACACATTATGGAACAACTTGAACACCAAATTAAATTATAAAATTAAATTATATTATTATTCCATATTGCGGCTAGTAATCAGCGCAGTTGTGTTGGAACTTACCAGGCGGCCCACCATTTTAGGGTTGAAGTAAGTATCAATATCCCCATTTAACTTTAGAAATATGTGCCACTTTCTGGCGTCTGGAGCTGCCAAATTTTTTCTAAATTTTTCCACCTCAGCTCAACCATGGTGGGGCTGAGGAGGATATAGCCTCTATCTCCATCTTGCTAATTTAAAATATTGTGGCTTCCCCCGAGGGAAAGGGTAGTAGCAGATCCACAGGTTGCCAACAGGTTTTCTGGGCATCCAGAGGTGCCAAAAAAGTTGTTCACCAACATGGTTGGGATAAGGCGGGTATGCACTCAAACCCCAATAACTTTAAATCCTGATCCGTGCATAGTAGTAAAAGATCTGCAGTTTAGCAGCCCGA